CCGCCGCCGCCGCCGCCGCCGCCGGTGCCGCCGCCGCCGCCGCTGCCGCCGGGCATGCAACTGGTAGTGCACACTATGCAGGCGTTCTACTCCGATTCTAAAATCCCTCCTGGCTTCCAGGCCCCCGCGGGCGGCGCGCTGCTGCCTGACGAGCAAACTATCAACGAATTTGTGTCGCAATTCAAGGCCAGTGCGTCCAGAGCTCTCGGCTTCTCTCCCAGCCAGGTGGGCGATCGTGGAGGGAGAAGGAGGGGAAGGTCGTGAAGTGTGGGTTCTAGATTCTAGTTTTTTTCCGGGTATATCTAGATTGACATAGTCTTTTAGCCGGCGCCTGTCCATGTTGCTTGTTTTGGATCCGTTGTTGCTCCATGGCTGAAGCTCTAATGCATCCTATTTAGGCAACTAGGCTTCATATCAATGCTGAAGTGAATCCAGTCCTGGAGCTTGTCGGAGACGTTGCTATGAGCTCTGCTCTGGATCCAGCCGTACGCCCTGCGCATGGAACCTGTTTGCAGATCCAGGCAAAACTCGTCCTCGCAAATCCTGTTGTGGATTCTACCATGAATCCAGATCCTGTTATGGATCCTGCGCCTCACACTGTGTGTACGTGTATGCGCTCCATTATGCCATTCCTCATGCTCCTTCTTCCCCCGCTGGGCCCCCAGATCTTTATCCTCTCGATGGGGGTCCAGGATACCGCCGTAGCCATCATGTCTCGAAGGTTGGCGGAGAGGCAACAGCCGCATGCGGAGGAGGATAGGAACAGTCGTACGGATGCCGTACAAGGCGGCAACGAATCCCTTGATGGAGGATTTTGGTCTAGCAGGGAGCTGGAAGAGCTGGCGCCTGGATCCGGTATGGAAATGATGTTCGAGCGCAGCCAGGCCACGGTTTCGGAGGTGTACGGCAATGGGAAAAGTGAGGAAGACGCTGTACTTGAGGTGCGTACGGCAGGAAGGCCTGAGCCTGGTTGCAATTAAGGGAAGGTGGTGCTCACACACACACGCTCGCGCTCGCGCTCGCGTGCATGCGCAAATAGCAATGGGGTCGAGGAAATTTGTCGTAACATGATTGACCCGTTTTATTCATTGGGGCGGAGAGCCCATCTGAAATGGCTGTACGGTGTCTTCCTCACGCTACGTACGACAGAATATACGACCACGCTGAGGTCGTTTGATGCTTCTAGGGTTTACGAAAACTGGTGTACACGGTTACATTTCCCGCGTCGTTCCGATCGCATTGCGTGATACGCGGCGTAATAATTTTTTCCCTATTCTGCCGCTTCAAATTGACGACACGTATTTGAATGTGCAAAGGAGCGAGGCAGGAATCCTGGTCGTGCAGGTCTTTGACCGCATGGACCGGAAGTGTACTACACCGTACAGCGTCATTTTTACTGTACTCCTGTGAGCCGTTCGGCGCTCATTTACTGGTTTCCAACGATTTGCCTCGGCCCCCCTCTTTCCCTCCTCTGCCCGCCCCAGGCGACCAACCAGGAGCGTGAAGCCCTAAGTGCTTTCCGCAGGTGCGTTTGATGATGGGGGCAGGAGGGGGGTTGAGGGAATGGGGAGCGGAGTGCGGACTGCGTAGAGTCGAGATTCCGCCCTTAGGCCCGTAGACCCGTACATCTACACATACGTCGGCACGCTGGTTTGCGCCGCCAGCTCGTCAGCCAGGCAGCAGCTGACCACGCGGGGAGGGGAGACAGACAGACTGACAGGCTGACTAACTGACAAAACTGACAGACAAACAAGAACAACGTAAGGGAAAAAATGAGGAACCGTATTTTGCTTCCCTGCCTCTGGGCAGTCTCACCTGCAGTCTTCTGTCCCCGCCAAGTCCCACACGCGCGCGCACACACACACACACACATGCATGCAGACGAACATGCAAGGTGCTTATTAGTAATGTATATGAATACAGGTGCACAATCTTGTTGGCTGCTCAGTTTTACACGCGCACGGCTGATCCCGCTGACCTCCCAACGCATATTCTGTCATTCATTCCCCCCCACAGGAAGGCGATCGTAATCGGCGCACATCTCTCCGTCATTTTTAATGTGATGGAGATCCGCCCGTTTGCGTCGCCGCCGCCGCCGCCGCGGCCGCCGCCACTTCCTCCAGGCACCTCCGCGCCACCGTCGCCGCCGCCGCGGCCGCCGGGCTGGCCGACGCTGCGACTCGGCGCCCTGGCGGACGCAATCGGATCCTCAAGCTTGTTCCGCCTGGCCGGAGTGCCGCCGCCGCCCCCGTCGCCGCCGCCATCTCCCCCATCGCCGCGGCCGCCGCCACCGGCGCCGCCGGCGCCGCCGCCGTCATTGCCCAAGCAGAGTGAGAGCATCCTCGTCAGCCGCGTGGTCGGCGCCGGCACTGTGGGCGCTACAAGGTGGGAACCCTCCCCGCCATCCCTGCGCTAGGACCAGCAGTAGCAGTAGCAGTAGCAGTAGCAGTAGCAGTAGCAGTAGCAGTAGCAGTAGCAGTAGCAGTAGCAGTAGCAGTAGCAGTAGCAGTAGCAGTAGCAGTAGCAGTAGCAGTAGCAGTAGCAGTAGCAGTAGTGTCGCTCCCCTTTTCCGTGAGGGAAGAGATGAAGGCGAGGGATAGGCGTGGGGTGGTGGTTGCACCAAACTGATACCCGAGTAGTACCAGAGGAGGACCCACAGAAATGAGCTACATACATCCCCTCCCCGCCCCATCTTCCTACGTGTTTACCTCTTCACGATTAGAGGTCAGCTATCAGGATGCGCATGCAGCCACACATCCCGCAAAGTGCCACGTAGCACTATTATCATCGTTCCTTTGTATAGGTGGCACGTGCCATATATCACGTCACCAGCACACATACACACGCATGCATACCTATATTATATATACACATATACAGGTATACAGATACACACCGTCGCCGTTTCGTCCTCGCAGCCACGCACGCACGCACACACGCACACACGCACGCACGCACGCACACACAGCAGGAGGCAGCCCCTCGTATGGAACCCCTTAAGTCCTCCACGCTTTGATAGACCCCACCTGATTCCCCATATCTTCCCCCGGTCTCCTTTCACCTTAAGCTTTCCCCTCGCACAACCCCCGCCGCCGTCGTCGTTGTGACGCTGACCGCAGACCTGTGGTGTGGTTCGATGATCCAGACTTCCTCAGCCTGCGGGAGACAGAGACCATACTCAACTTGGTAAGTGACACATGCATTTGACACGCTGGGCCCCTCCGTCTGGAGCATGGACTGTGTCTGGGGTCTGAGGGGCCCTGAAGGTGGTGAAGGAAGGAACGGATGATCGGATGCATACAGTTGAAGCGGGCGCCGGCACTGCGCTGTGGTCATGGTGGCGATGTGGACTAATTGGTGGTATATTGCCAACTGACTAAAGTCAACGAAAGGGCAACATAACCGAACCCCAACTGAAAAACGTGTGTCTGTCGGCGTCCTTGTGTGGTTCAGGTGTACCCTAACGCGCTCACGTGTCCGTACACGAACGAATGCGGGGAGTGCGGTACAGGCTGGACAATAGAACGGGATCCGTACAAGCTGTACATCTACTTCAAGGATCCGATCCAGATCACAAATATCGAGATCCGGGAGCTGCAAAATCCTGCCGTACAGCTGGTACGTAATGTTTTTCTGGATCCTTTGGTAGCTGCTCACCTCCTTGTTTTGCCATCTTTTTGTTTTCTCCGATTAATCGACCTTTTTGAACCCCTTTGGATCTGCTTGGATTGGCTGTAACTAAATCCATTTCCTCCTCCTTTCAACTCCTTGCCTCCCCCTTGCCGTACTACTTGCATGCACAACCTCCCCTTTCCCTACCCCCTATGACCCCTGTTCCTCCAATTCCTAACTGCCGCCGCCAACTTCTGACCGCCAATGCCTGACCGCCTGACGGCCAACACTCAACCCGGGCCTATATACACAGATTGCGCTGCTCCCCTGGCCTGCCGTGGACGAAAACCTCTTCGCTCGTACCGACATTCTGGGCGAGCCCATCTACATGGATGACGGCACCACTAGACCCTGTCCAAGCACGCTCTCTGTGGAGATCCCTCCAGAGCGCAGCGGCATCAACCTGGCTGTACGGAAGAACGGTACGCAGGAGAATCTGCCCAAGGCGCTGCGCAGCTCCGCCGCTGGTGGCGTCTTCATCAACTTCTGGATCGCCACACAGTTCGAGGCAGTCACGATCGTCGAATCGGTACGGTTCTCCGGTCGCGTGTTGTACCCTAAGGATCCGCAAATGTACTCGAAAATGACGGATCTGTCGAAGAAATGAAAAGGGGGTTAGAAGCGAGAGGGGGAAAGGGAAGGGGTCAAGGCAAAGTGGGGTGGAGAAGGAGGAAGAGGATGATGGTGATGAATGTGATGCGGTAGGTGTGAGTGGCGTCTATTTGGTGCAGCAGCAGAAAAGAAGTGGGTGGTAGGGACGCCGAAGGGAAGAGAGGCAGGGCGGGGCCCTGCGTTCATACGCTTCATCGCTTTCCAGAGCAGACTTGGAACGTCGCCCCACTTGTTTTTGCGTGTTAGGAGTTTCCATCTTGGTTCTTTCTCTGCGAGACCTTGTCTCCACAGTCCGCCCACAGTTCACGTAGGGAGCCATCATCGGCACGCAGTGTACGGCAGGCAGTAGTCGCCCGACTGCTAGTGCAGGTATCTTGTTTGAGCTCTTAAAGCGTGCTTTGTTAGTGTTCGTGGTACGTTCTAAAGATCTATGTTTGACAGAGCCGGATGCATTTCGAGCTGTGAGCTGTGGGACGGGCCGCGTATGATCTCATGGCATAGGTGTGTGTGGCTTCACCCGTGGCCACTAGCCTGCTGGCAGTCCCAAACCTCCCCCGATGTTTGGGGCCACTATCATCTTTCCTCTCATCCATGCATGCCGACTTCTGCGAAGTCAGTGACTTTTCGGGTCAAGCACCCACCATCCCCACTGGCACACGGCGGCGACCACCCCACTCTTTGTCGGCGCTATAATCGGACCCATTACCGTCCATCGGCATGGGGGTGCATCCACCTTCCTACGGAATTCGTGTCCCGCTGTTACTCGAGATCACATCTGGAACCTTCCAGGGACACTATGCCGCGCCTTAGCGTATTTGCAGTGTCTGGACCCTTGTAAGTATGTCAGTATCTTCATATCCTTTGTTGGAGCGTAAATATGTGTGTAGGTACCTATCTACCTGCCCACCTTCTTGTGCATAGGACTGCGTGCACAGGCGTGTCTTTAGGTGCACCCAGCTAGGTGTGCGTCTGTGCAGGCGTACATTAGCGCGTATCATATCGCACATGTGGAGCTCTGTGGCGCGTGGCTGGCCAGCGGGAACGGAAGTACATGGCTAGATGGGAAATGGATGGCTAGATGGTTTGCTGGCCTGATATGGAAGATGAGTGAACGCGGAAGTTTGCTTTTAAATGCAGAAGGATGCATATATGGCGCGCGCGCGCTCGCGCGCTTTCGCAAGTGATTCGCCTGTGTGGAATGGATTTAAACCCGCTTTGCTGCGTTTGTAGCTTAATGTAGGCCAAAAAATGGAAAGGGTGTGAGTATTTGGCGTGTCTTATGGCGGTTTGCGAGTGCGGATGTCGGCAGGCTTTTCGCAGGATGACAGGCAAAGGCGTGGACCTGCGTTGTGGCAGCCACGTGTGACGCCACGTGCAGGAGTCCCAGGCTGCCCAGGCCTGCGGAACAAATGCAAGTGGCATGATAATGGTCTCCTTGTTACCTTTCCAAGGTTTATTTGGCTGTATGCGGCAGCCTGCGCCATCGCATACAAAGGCCCAGCAAGCCGCCAAAATTTAACCTGCCTAAAGAAGGTTGGGTTGCTGGTCTAAAGTCTTTCATACCTTGGAACGAAGTGTTTGTCGTAGCTTAATTATAGATGGGGCAGCAGGGTTGTTCGGACCTATTTTGAAAACATCAGGAGCTACTAGCTGCCAGGCGATTCATGTTTGATCGGTTTTGATCCTTCCTTGGTTTTGCTGATGCAGTGACTCGTCGTTGCTGTTGACTAGTTGCTGCACGTCGCAGGTTGTCGCATGTTTATTTGGTTTTGAACTGGCAGGCAACTATGTTGCCCATCCGGCAGCAGCAGGAATGCGTTTATTGCTCGAATGAACGTCAATCATAAAATCACGCAGTTGCCGCCACCTACTGAACTGAGTAAACGCGGACAACAGAAACAAGGACGGACGTTTTTAAGTTGGCTCTTACGGTGTCCTAATGTTATGGTCCTAAGGTCTGAGGTCGCAGATCTACACGGGAGATACCAACCCAAGCCGTTCGCGGCACCGCGCACTCGTTCTCTTGTGGTCCCGAGAGTTCTAGAGTATCGGGATGGTCCAGATAAGCGGAACGCCTTCCCGCCTTCCCTGTCTGCATAGCTATCCTGTGCACGTTCATGCCAGCGTGTGAAACAACTTCTCTCTGCCGTACACCTTTACGAATCGGTAGCTAGCGAACTCAGTGAAAGATCCCGGCGGCGACCCAGGCAAGGAACTGTTTTTTCCCGGCAACGAGTTTTCACGTTTTATCACGACCTTACCGTTTTAGGTGTGAAGTTGTCTACTTTCACCCAATCGAACACTGCGTGTGTGAACTGGGAGCCTTGTGAAGGACAAAACAAAAGAGTTTTAAGAGTTTTATATGGGATGATCTCTGAAACAGAGCTTACTTCAATAAAAACTTAAGCAAACCTCTTAATTACACTTTTACTTCACCTTTACGGTCCTCTTGCCACCTTTACGGTCCTCTTACATAGCTAACACGACAATATTACTGTTTTCCTTAAATTCTAGCATCAGAGGGACTCTCGTACTGTGTTACATGGGCCGCGCCATGGTCGCGTTTCTCAGGGCATATGTGCCCCGTCTCAGTGTTGGATGACAGCCACTGTGGGCCCTCACCACTCTCACCCCAGGGGTTTAGGAAAATACACTTGCGGATTTCCGTTATCCGTTAGGGCAGAGGGCATCCGCTCCCCATCAGTGTCAGGCCCGGTCACTGGATGAAACACAGCACGCGCAAACTCAGCAGTTGGTTAGAACACGCGCACGAACAAACATGCAAGTATTTGCACATCACAAACATACAAACAGCTACCACGCATATAACAGATAAGAACAGATACACATGTTTGCATCGGCGAGAAAGAAAGTGCTACTCGCCGCCGAGCTAATTTCACGACAAAAGATGGCACGACGTCTTGGCATCAGTCAAGGTCCGCCAAGTCCAGCAGTCGGTCTAAGTTTCCCGATCTGGGAAAGGAGATAGGTGATCAGGCGGGCTGGTGTGTAATACACAATGCAACGCGCGCGTACAAGCTCCACTTGCAGGCAAAGGCGTTTCACGGCCTTCCGAGTCTGAAGCAATGGACAGTATCTTTCTGGAGAGAATAATTGCCGGCTCAACAGCCCAGCATAGCAAGTGTGTATTTATTATTTACGGCATATGTCGTACACCCTTCCCATGGCGTGCGTGTACACAACTCCAAGGATGGACGTGGCAGATCTACATCGCACTTCGGATGACCAGAGTAGACACAGGCCGGCTGCGGCCTGAGGGCGTCGCCATTCACAGACCGCTCTTAAAAAAAGCGCATAACGGCGGCGACCAAGGCGTACAAAAGATAATTCAGGTTGCAGTTATTGATCTCAACCTGTGCAGATAAATGGATGGTCACGGAAATGGTCAAACTGTCAACTGGATTTCCGATGAAACCGACCAAAGCCCATCCCTTGTACCAAAGCAACTCGAAGCCTAGTTAAAGCCAAATAAAAAAGCGCAGATCGGCCTGACGCGATCCAGCCGAATTTCGGGCGCATCATTTGTGTCGAGACCGCAATATGAGGTAGAAACTAATGCAAGGATCCTGAATGTCGACGCTACGGCCAGTAAGCGAAGCTGGTGCACAAAAGGTAACTTATAGCACAGTAAATAATATGAACGACCGCATTACCGTAGGAAAGCGGCACAAGAGGACGCTGACGCCTGCGATGGTGAAAGTGGCAAAACCTGAGTTTCTGTGGTGGTGCGTGAGTCGCAGCAGGATCGCGCTGCTACCTTATGCGACATTTTGGAACAACCATAACTGATAACGGATATGGTTATTATCAATAAAAATATTTCAGAAACGTCGCAAGCGCCGCAACTGCCGAACGGAAGGAAATTTGTCATAACTTGCCGAACAACAAATGGCTTCTTCCGCCGTGCGCTCGTTCGCATATGTGCGCGCGCCTCCGCAATCTTCAATAATAAAAATAATGTATCCCTCCCAGGCGCCTCCCACCGTACAGTGTGCGTTTTCAAGTCTCGAATATGCTGTTCAGCCGCCTGCGAACCTTCTACTGCCGCCACTTTTCGCCTTGCCCCCAACTCTGCGCGAGTGCCTCACGTGTAGTGTGGGACTTTTGGACACCAAGGTCCCGTAAGGCGTGGCTGCCGCTATGGATGGTGGCTGTGTGGTCGTCGTGGTGGCAATTTAAATGCGCCGCTAGACCAGCGCGCGTGAGAATCTCCCCTCACCAGGGCACGCGCCTTATGGTTGGGTGCTGGTGCTGCGCGTCTGACTTAAAACAACTCTCTAGCTAGCATGTTTAGGACAGTAGAACTTAGAACGGACCTAAGCAGTAAAATTCAACGCGCTAAAATGTATCCTTCCAGGCATGCCTTGCCTCCCTGCCAAAAGCCCTTCGCACGCACGAGAATTTCCTTGGCGGCTAGCGGGCCTGCGCTAAAGGCATGTTAAGACATTAGGCCGCGGACGCAGAGGTCGTTGGGCATTCAAAGTTCCCTCTTCACCTCCACACTCCCGCTCTCTTCACTCTTACCCCTCACCACTCACCATTTTCCCTCTTTGCCTCTCTCAACCTCATCTCCTCTTCCTAGAAGCAGCAGCAGCAGCAGCAGCAGCTGTGGCAGCAGCATAATAGTTTCAGCTGCACCTATCGCTCATGCTCACTTCCCAAACATCCGCTCAAGACAAGCACGAGCACAAGCTCCGAAGAAATATTGAGACCTGAACCCAAAATTTAATTCACATGGAAAAATAAACACACCGAATCGCGCTCTCGTGGACACTCTACTGATTGGCCTGGCAAGGCCTCGTAAACGTTTATGCAATGCAATGGTATAATGCTATAACATATGTTGTACTCTTGCATAAATTTATTGCCTCTTTATTTCTGAAAAGTTTTTTCCGCTCAGCACTTTACGGACAGCAAAGCAGCTCGTGAGCAGCTAGATACAGCCTACCAGACCGAAAAACGGTCGATTTGTTTCCATTCATTCTTTTGCCTTCCACTTTCCCATCTGAAGGTCGCATAGACGGCCGCAGCACGGATTTATCGCATACCATTCGTACTGAGCGTAGTGCATGTACGAGAATAGTACTGGACATCATACACTCCGCACGCATGCAAACATGCCAACCCATCCTCCCGATCCACACTCCTCCCATCCGCACGACACCACCACCACCACCACCACCACCTGCATTCGACCAACAGCTGCAACTCTCACTCGCAACATGTCCACGGTCACGACCTCTAGCAGGCTCCAACCAAAGTGGGTTCCGGAGCAAACCCCCTGCTTCCCGGGGGAGAGATGAATTCTCATGGGAAGGTCGGGGGCGGTACGACACACGGCTAAAAAACCTTTCTACTCCGGAACGACAGCGATGGCGCGGGACGGCCCCGGGCGCTTCAAGTACGACATGGCATCCGCCGCCGCTGTCCTCATCCGCTCCCGTAGCTCACCGGCGTTCAGAGAAACGGACTTCCTGGGCAGCCGCCGGGTCGGGGCTTTGGCTGAACTCGAGTAGATAGGTTGAGTTTGACCTGCCGTACCCGCCGCTGCCGTACCTGACGCTGCCGTCCCTGACGCTACCGTACCTGCGGCCAGGGTCTGTGGTGGCCTTGGCAGTCCCGGCTGGTGTGGGGTAGTCGCTGGTGGTGGGAGGCAAGAGAAGGTTTGGTTCCTCACCGGGGGCAGCCGCCGTCGATTTCCACCGCTACCGCTGGCGGCGGCGGCTGCGCCGCCGTCAGCGGTTACCGCAGCCTTCGCCCCCGCTGCAGCCTGCATCATCGCGGCATGTGCGGCAGCTAGCGGCCCTGCACCACTGGCGCTCTGCACCCGGCTCCGAAATCCTGCATGAACCGCCACCGCCATCGGCCCCGCCGCAGCGGCAGCGGCGGCCGTACCGTCCCCAGATTCCTCGGCGTCAGTAGCTGTAGTGGCGGCCGCCGCGTCTCCGGACTGCAGTACGCCGCTGGTGGCCTTCCGTACCAGGGCCTCCCGGAGCCATGTCGAGATCTGCACGGATTTAGTTTCGGAGGACGTCCCGGCGGATGCTTAGGGAGAGTGGCGAGGTGGGAGATTTATTATTGGGGCTTTATTAATGTGATTTTGTTATATTATATGTAATAAATTATATATATTAATTAAAATAATATATAATAACTTTATCTATTTTTTGATCTATTTATATCATTATATTTTATTATTATGATGATATGTTGTTGTAGTAGTAGCAGTAGTAGTAGCAGAAGAGACGGCAGGAATGAAAAGGGTGGTTGATGGGATAAGGCCTGGAAAAAGGGGAGGCCGGAACGGTACGGCGGCGATACTTGGAAATGCAGCGTCGGGGAGAAGAGAGGAGGGTAACGGGCGAGAAAGGCTCGAGGGAGGAAAAATCTCTTTCTCGCGTCGCAAGAGCAAACCAATGAACCGAAGTGAAAGTATATTATTATTTTTTCAAAACATGCCTCCTGTTGGTGCCTCTATTACGACAAGATGAATCAGAATCAAATCTCATATTTTATCATCAATATCCGGAATTCTGCAACCCCGCGCCGTAATGCCGTACACACCTACCTCTCCGACAATTTGGTCCTGACGTGCCTGGGTCGCGCGTCGTACTACCCATGCGGGACCGGGCCGGCCGTCGTCAGGCTCCGCCGGTACGGCGGCGGCGGCGGCGGCGGCGGTGCCATGCTCATCGCGGGGCAAGCCACTCGCCAAGCCGGTTCCGATCATCACACCCCTCGCCTGCGCATTACCGCCGTCGGACGCATCGCCGCCGGTTCCGGTACCAGCGCCGCCAGCACCGGCAGCCGCAAGCGCCTCCACTGCCTCCAACAGCTTCTGGTCCACGGAAGACAAGGACCCGTGGGTCTGCACCAGCGCCGACCCATTCGTTCGTCGATTCCCAGACAAGCCGTCGTCCTCGGACCCACGGGCAGGCACTGGCGCCGGCCCATAGGCCCCTCTCGCCCCAGCAGCCGATGGTTCCGGCGCGCACGAGTCACCGGATCCACAAAGGGATTGCATGATGTCAATGTCGAACGGACCCTCCTCCGCCTCCACCTCCGCGTCGCCACCTTGGACTTTCGGCTGCGGCGTCGGTGGCGGCAGTGGCGGTGGCAGCCGGCAGCTGCCGCCGCCGCCAACGGCTCCTGTCGAATCTGTTGCAGCTACGGAGGCTTCCTTAGCATTCAGCTCGGGAAAAGGCGTACGGAGGCAGCTGGCGGCGGTGGAGGGTGGCGGCGTGGCGGCGGCGGCAGCGGCAGCCGCCGCTGTGGTGGCGGTGGCCGCGGCGCTGCTGCCGCCGGTGCTTTGCAGACGCGCATTATACACCACTGACATCTGGGGCCCTATCGGCAAGGGCGATGAAGCGGACAAGGAGTTGCGCAGTACACTGTCGGTGGCGGCGTTTGGAGCGTTGGCAGATACCGCTGTGGGTGGCGATGCTTTGGTGGTGCTTGTGCGCGAAACATCGGCGGCAGTGACGGCGGGGGCAGTGGCAGAGAAAGCTTCAGCCAGTTGGCATCGTGGAGAGTCTGTACCGGAAATTAGAGATGATCCGTTCGGCCTGCTCAACGGTAGCGGAAGCGCCGCCGCTGCCGCTGCCGCTGCCGTCGCCGTCGGCGTCCCAAGTGATCTAGGCGAGGCATCCGCGGCCATTCCGCGACGTGGCCGAAGGAAGGGGTCGTACTGAATCGGGAATGGTGCGATGTCGTCAATGCGCTCTCTGTACGGCAACCGAGCCGCCTCCGCTGCATCGCCGAGAAGGCCACCAAACGATTTACCGAGGCGGTCTCCACCACCGCCACCACCGCCGCCACCGTCCCCGCCGCCATACCCAGCCCTCAAAGCTTGCGGTACGATGCGAGGAGCGCTGACGGCCTTTTGGCTGCTGCCGCCGCCGCTGCCGCTGTGCTTCTCTGCCGCATTTGCGAAGAGCTTGGACCTCAGACCGGCCTGCATAGAAACATCACTTCCGCTGCAGCCGCCGCCGCCGCTGCAGTCAGCAGCCACAGACGGCAACGCTGCTCCTGCCGCCGCCACCGCCGCCGCCGACTGCTGTTGTTGCTGCTCATTGGCAAATTGAGGCCTTGCAAGCCTGCTGGCCGTGGAGAGCGTTGTGACGGCGTCCACAAAGCTGCTGGCGGCGCTGCAATTGCCGCTGAAGGGGACTGGCGAAGCGCCGCCGCCGCCGCCAGCAGCAGTCCCTAAGCTGCCTTTCCCGGCGACGCTTCGCGGCGAAGAAATTCGTGCCAAGAAGGCCTCTGTCGTGGCGGCGGCGCCCATGAGAGCAGCCTTCGCCGTCGGCGAGGCCTTTTCCCCTAAGTCAGCGGCGACGCCTACAGAGACCCTGTGGAGCGTTGCGAGCCGCTGTGAATGCACGGCCGCCGACGCCGCTGGCGGAGGTGACGGCATGCTGCGCAACGGCAGCGCCGTGGGCCCCGCCGCCACCGCCGCCGCGGAGTACAGACAGGACGTTGTTTGGCTGCGCCGCGGCGGCAGCCGCCGCCTCCTGGTTCCAGACGCGGCGGAAAGCCCGGTTGGCGGTCGCGATGAGCTTGAGGCGACCCCTATCGTACTCGCCTGTACGGCAGCCGTACCCGGGGCTGGCGGAGAAAGCCATATATGTTCCTCAGATTCAGAACCAGAATCATGAAGTTGGCGTTCCTCTATTGTCGTGAGCCTGTGCTTGCTCTCCTCCGCACCGTCGCCGTCGCCATCGCCGTCACCGCCACGCGCTTTCTCCTCTCCCTCCTCCGCCACTCCGGAACATGGGCTGATGTACAGCAACGGCGAATGCGGGCCAAGGCCGCTGGCGGAAGCCGTGGACGGCGCGACAGACGGGAAAATTTCCGTACTATCCGGCATTTTTAGACTCGTGAGAGCCGTCGAGTGCGGTTGTAGCTGTACGGCAGTAGCGGCGGCAGGGAGAGATTTATCGAAACGTGCTGATTGGGGACCGGCGCGTCCTGGGAAAGGTACGGCAGATGGATTGAGCAGATGCCAACGGAGAGCCGCCAACTGATGCTCTAGATCGGCAGGTGTGGGTGGTACGGCGGCGGCGGGGGTGCTGCCGCCGCTGCCGGCAGTGCAGCCCCATGCGGCCTGCTGCAGGGCCCGGCTACGCTGAGCAGACATCACGTCGCTTGTGGACATAGACCTCCGCGGCCCCGTACGCCTCCTGTTTGCTGTTGTGGAGGTGGTGGTGCCGCTCTGTCGCCCCGGTTGCTGCTGATAATGATGATGCCTGCGGCTGTTTGTCAGGTCGGCAGCAGCCGACTGATCTGAGGTGGCGGCGGCGGCGGCGGCGGCGCTGCCGCCGCTGCTGATGGCTTGTCCCAGCCGGCCCAGGGGCAGCAGCTTCAGCAACGGGAGGCTGGCGGCGCTATGACGTCCACGGCTGGCGGCAGCGGCAGCAGCGGCGGCGGCGGCGGCGGCAATGCCGCCGCTGCTGCGGCCGCCTGGCTGGGGCGAGGATGCTGGGATGTAGCATCTGTCCCACGCAAGCGGCCCTGAGGGGGGCCTTTTTCCATCCAGGCCTTGCATGTCGGAGGTGGCCGCAGCCGCACCTTCGGTGCCCGCCGTCGGCACTTCGAGCAGATCGGTGAACTGGCCAAAAGTGGTGTACTGGGATGTCGTACGGCCCTTTGTAGAAAGCTTATTCCCAGTTGGGTCAAGGAGCGCCGACGCCGTACCGCAGCTGGAACAACCAGCTGTGACGCCGCCGCCGCTGCCGCTGCCGCCGCTGCCGCCACTGCCGCGGCTGCATCCCGCGCCGCTGGCACCGTGAATGTACGGCAACACTGACATAGTGTGACGTCGACCCGGCGGCAGCCTGATCCGAGGAGAGCAGCTGCCGGCGCCTATCGCCGCCGCCGCCTCCGTCGAGTAACCTAGTTCCGGTGCGGTGGACCTATCGGCTGCGACGGCTGCGGTATCGTTGGCGGAGGCATGTACGGCGATGGACGGAGGCTGGGGCCGCACCGCCAAACCTAGCTGACCCAGGACGCCGCTACAGCTCGGGTTGAGGCAACCAGCGCCTGCGGCGGCGTCACTGCTACTGCCGAAGCCGCCAACGCCGCCGCTGGGGCTTCCAGGCTTCGTGCCGCGGTTCGCCTCTGAAACCACCCGTGACGCTGGCCACTGGTTCCAAGTACGACACGCAGTCGAGGCGGAGGCGGTGGCGGCGGTAGAGGTTGGCGGAGAAGCTGGCGGCGACCACTCCGAGGGGCCCCTCTGAGGCCCAAGCCCGCGCTCACTGGCAGCGGCTGCGGCGGTGCCATCGCAGGAGAGACGGTCAGGCAGCGGACACTGCTGCTGCTGCTGCCTAGCATTAGTGTCGTACACCGACGGGGCTCCTTTGCCATGGCCCACCCGTTGACCTTGCGGGAGAGGTACGAGTACTTGGTCCGACCAGAGCCCGTCGGTGCAGGCCGCCGCCGCCGCCGCCGGAGGTGAAAGGGCTGACCGCGTCCTGAGCTCAACGAGCCCCGTCAAATCGCCCAGCAGTTGCCTTACGTAATGTCCCTCGTGGGTGCGAGCCAGTGACCCACGGGTCGACATGAGCGGCGACACCAGGGCGGCCGCTCGCCAGGCCCTCTGCCGCGCCATGTCCTCGTGCATGTGTTGGGCTGTCGGCAGGTTCATTCGGGCGGTGAGGAGGGCCACCAGCCACTGGGCCTGGAGCTCCAGGACCAGCAGCGGAGTGGAGGCATGGGACTGCCAGCCCACAAAGCCCAGGCCAGGGACGTCGGGGTGTACGATGCCGCGGAAGAGCACCAGCTGATCGGAAAAGTCGCTTGCTGGCGGCGGCGGCGGCGGCGCTCCCCCTTCCCCCGGGATTGGCAGTGGCTGCTGCTGGTGGGAATCTCCCCGCTGGAGCAGTGCCTGGCGCAGGGAGGGCTCCAGGAAGGGCATGACCCGTGGGTCACGAAAACTGGGCGCCCAAAGCACCAGCTGGCAGTTTACCAGCTGGGCGCCAGCACCGGCGACTGTGACGGCGCCGGCGGCAGTAGCCGCCCCGTCACCAGCCCCGACCCCTGCCGTACTCAGCGAGCAGCTGCCGCCGCGGCCGCCACCGCCGCCGCCGCGGCCGCCACCGCCGCCGCCGCTGCCGAGTGATACGACCGCCGCCGCTCGTCCCTTGACGTACGCCCAGAAGCGACGCTTGGTGGGAGCTCGCAGCACTCGCCCCACGGGTCCCGGCGGCGGCAGGGAGGGGTGCGGCTGAAGTGCGGCGTGAAGTGCGCGGCGCCGGGCACCCTCGAGAAGTGAGACGCCGTCCACAACGGAGAGCAGACACCCTTCAACCTGTGCGACGGTGCATCACCAGGTTGCGTAACATCGTCGGTGTGAAATCCATCGGCGTAGAATTGCCAGGTGGACTACATAACAACGACCACAAACGGAGAGATAATCTATGCCATGAATAATTGTCATGTCGGACTGTCGTACAGTGCTTCGTACGACACAAGAGTTGTGGAATCGGGTGGAATACATAACCTTCATCATATCTTCCCCCCATGTATCCAGGAAACAAACACACATACAAAAAACACATGCGCACATACATACAGACAGAGATCCTCAGGACTTGATTCCCACTCCAAGCCGCACGTCTGTAACGCGCCAGGGACAGGGCCCCACACGGGGGCCCCGCACTTACCGGTTGCTCAACCAGCGTCACATCCCGACCCTCTCTCAGGAGCGCCAGTGCAGCCGCACAATCAAACGCCTCAGTGCCTGTACGGCATGGTTCCGGAGCACATGGTGGTTAGGCGGTTAGGGTAGTTGGGTCTTTAGGGTGTCGAACCAGCCTTGCGGGCATGTGGATATGTAACGGAATGCAAGAACGTGTAGAAAGAGATGGGGGGAAAGGGGAACACATAGCGAAACGGGTCTTGTTTTTTCTGTAATATTTTTCTTCCCTGCGGTGGGTCGCCTGCGGCTTGAATCCTGCTTACTCACCGTCGCCCACGACTGCGATGCCGCCGGCACCGCTGGCACCGCCACCAGCGGCCACATCAGCCAGGATGGCGCCACGGGAGTGAACCAGTCGTGCATGAGCGGGCAGCTGCACCTGCGGTTTCATTTTCCGTTGGTTTTCGGTTTCGGTTTCAGTTGTGGTGAGAGGGAGGAGAAGACGTTACAGCGACCTTGGGCGTCCCACGGCGGGGTCACACCGGGACACGAACATCTGAATCGGACTAGGTCCTCTCTAGCACTCTCTAGCAATATAATTATGTCTCCTGATTTTTCTTTTCCTTTTCATTCCACCGCTGGTTCTGCGCAGTGCAGGGCCAGGGTCATGCCGGATTGGAGATGTTCTTGGGTTGTCGATTGCGAGGCCCACAGATGGCACGCACGTGAGGTGGAGATGTATAAAAGAAGGCAGATAATATGAAAGCGGATATTCCCAGGTTCGCCGTAAAGGGCCTCAGCAGCAGCAGCAGCAGCAGCGGCGGTAGTCATAGCCAGGTGTTTGAGCAGATAGCGCAGTACAGTAGGGCAAGGCACCACTCGGCGCCAACCGCCTAGGCAGCACGCTGCCGCCATGCCCAAACCACACACCCCATCCCCTACATCGTCGGTGGCTTCACTCCTCACCTGTCCTAGGACTTTGGAATGGCGTGCTTCAGGCGGCAAGTCGTGGCCGGTACACAGCACCACAAAATTTGCGTGAGCCGAGAAGAGCTGCCCCGACGGGAGGTCCTCACAGATTGCGTGCCAGCGAATTTCCAAGCTGTCCGTTTTATTAGTCAAATGTACTAGCCGGCAACGCAGGCGTATATGGCCGATGAGGTCGTGGTGGGCGGAAAAGGCCGTCAAGTACGAGCTCACATCTTTTACCTGCAAATTCCAAGTATATTTTAGCTCATATAATTTGCGAAGCTACTGCTGCGCTGAAACTTCAAGCCTTCAGAAGCGCCCGCCCAGCTTTCTGAAATAAGAAACGCAGTTTGTGTTTCAAAGTCTAGCACCCTACCGATGGATTGTGTGGTAAACGTGTCTTGAAGCTGGGGTCCGATAACGTTTGCGCCACCGGCGCACCTGCTAAACCGGCGAATTGAGGATTAAACTGTTAACCTAACCAGTTGCACGACGCGACTTAGGGAAACTGGGCTAACAACCATACATAGATTCTTACCAATTAAAGCTTCTTTCGGAGCTTTGTTAGACCAGCCGCCAACATGAGGCTCTTGCTCCAAAACAACTACGTCGCATCCTGAAGCAAGGCAGGCCGCAGCGACGGTAAGGCCGGACGCTCCTGCACCCACAACTAGCACCTCTGTGCTAAACTTATGCTGGAAGGGACCCAAAGTCATGTGAAACGGGTTAAGTATCCTAAAGTTTTTGTTTCCAGGGCTTTCCTTGAACTTCGCCGCACGTCTATGTCAGCCCGCAGGTAGCACAGTCACAATGCGATGGTAGGAGTCCCTTTCACTGCAGTGATGTAGTTCAAGAAAGATTACCAAACTTGTACTTCGGGCGTCGTCCGTACAGGATGTTAACTGGTCAGGCAGGGGCGTAAGCCCCAACATTGCGTTTACTTGTCTCATCTGGGTGGTTGTTGTCTAAATTGTATATTAGTCTCTAGTGCAGTGCACGGCCAGCTGGCCCGATGGCTCTACTCTTAGTGAGTCTGGAGCCCACTGTAACAACCACACACACACATGTCGTTGTTCGGAGCTACAATTGTTGAACATAGTGCTGTAATACGGATGCAGTAATACGGGTCGCATTTTTTCATATCCTGCATCATGACATTCGACATTATGTAGAAATTGAGCTATGATAACGAGTTATGGCGAAGTTTCTTAACGGGCGATGTTCTGGCGATGTTCTGGCGATGTTCTTAACCGGCTTCCTGCGCCAAGACTGCATGCTCGCGTAAGCAGCTTCGAATCTCCCCAAGCTGAGGCTGAATGAACTGAACTGCACATGAATCCATTTCGTTCTTCTGCACCTTTTGATCCAATAATACGCACCCTACTATACGCACCCTACTATTGCACGGCGGCCTCAGTCGGTCTACGTATGGTATGGCTGCCGCTGCTGCTCCTCCCTGCTAGACGACTAGAGCATCCTCTTACCTCATGCACCGCTACGCAGTACTCGCAACCCACCGCCACAACCATTACTACCACCACTATTACTACTACCACCATCATTACTACCACCACCACCTTGACAGTGCGTCACGCGACGCGCGCAGGTCCCCCCCTCTTGCCTCGCGTTGCCCGTAACTCCAACATTACATCCTCTCGTCGCTTATCACAAAATCATCCTGGCAAGGCTAGACCATCCGTCATTGCAAACTTAAACATTGGCAGCCTTTTGCACCTGTTTTCGTATCCCGTTACTTGTCGTACCATACATCACCTTGTGCGGGCGGCCCCGCTTCTCCCGCCCTGGGGTTGATGCCAGCCTGCCTGCCTGCTAAGCCTGCCTTTGCCTCTGCCTGCCTGCATGCATGCTGCGTTGGCAAGAAACATTTCCTACATGCAAATGGTTATATTAAATTTGCACTCCTGGGGCTTACTCTAGCCTTGTACGGTCCAGCCGTACGCACCAACGGCATCCAACCCAGTACGCTCTCGGCAAATACACAGAAACCTTGGCTTTCTCCCATATAACTCAGAAAACCTACAGTTTTACCTGCACAAATTAATGATATAGTCTTACTTTTGCTAGGATTAATCATGCTCTAACTGGAATTCCCTCAAGTTTTCTGGCTTTTCTCTCATTTCTCTCAATTTTGATCAGCGATTTTTGCCAGCCATTAGGATTAGTATAATAGGTATCTTCATGCCTAATCTTGGACCTTAAGATTCATAATATCTACGCCAAAAAAGGAAGAAATTATCCTTACAGGTCTGTTCAAAGCATTTCCTTGAATATATTCCTCCCATGATGTGTGAAACAGGGGGGTTATATCTTCACCCGTGGCAGCTACCCTGCGAAACCCTGCCTTCCACGGTATTTCGGGGCACCCTCATCCAGTCACCCTAGTCAACTTCTCAGTGGATCGCTCAGGTTCCGCACTCACCACCAGCATCCAACGGAATCTGCCGGGTCGACAGCAGCCCAACACTAATACTGGTCGGCTCGTAGGTTAAATTTATACCAGGTCACCACCGTCCATCAACTAGGGGCGCTATACCCTCCGCCCTGACAGGTCTCGATCCCGGGATCTCCGGGGGGCAATGGTTGCGCGAAGGCAGAATCAACCGCCTTGGACTTGCAGTTTGTATGGCGTAGTGCAGTGTGGTAATGGTAGATGGTGTTGCACGGTGTTCAATCCTATGTTGTCAATACAAATGTGTTCAATCGGCCCAGAAGCCTCCACTCTGTAACAGCAGCAACAACAACAACAACAATAACAACAACAACAATAACAATAACAGCATGTGTGGCTGTGTTTCGGCCCCGGTCAGGGCCCCCGGTGCTCGTCCTTTCTCGGGGTGAGAAGCCCACAGTGTAACACCCCCCGTCAACAACATACATGTACCTTACTACGTCCTTGCTTTTGCAAGCCTTGCCACACCTACTCTCCCCCCCACCGAACGATATTGGAAATATGGGCATAACAGACACAGCACCGCCGGCGATCTGTTCACGAGTCCACTGTAATAACCCATCATACATCATAACACGCAGACATACACACATACATACATGCATACGCATACGCTTACATAAGGAAAAAAAGAAGAACGAAAGGAAAAGGAAAGATTGTTCTGGGACCATGAACTGCGGAGAAGCATGTGTTAAGGGATCTCGCGATAAGGGTTGGGGGTCATCGCTCCCTTAGCCGCAGAAACGTATATGTTGTTCCGGACAAAGGCAGCCGCCGCTGGGGTCCTCGCGCGCTCCGCTTCGCCTAGCTATCTACCGAAACCCTCCCCTGTGCTTCGAACCGCCCCAACGCGCACATTTCGAGCTGTGCACTTGGTAACACCCTGTCGTACACCCATGTACGAAACGAAGTATGAAGTACGCCCGTCCGACAGAATGAATCCTTTACGAGCTGATGTACGGTGGACTCATCTGGCAAGACCGTGTCCTCACTGATGAATTCTCGTCTATTGCCCGAAGCCATCCTCTGCTGCCAGCCTGACATCGCATGAATGCATACTCCCGCACCCACGCACTCACTTAACCACGGGGATCGATACTCCGCCAGCGGCAGCTTGCGCCCGTGCAAGAGATCGATCGCGAGAGATTAAGAGAAGGCAAGTGTGCCGAGAGAGTGCGAGAGCGCGGGCGAGAAACAAAATACATATATTCGCATGGCAACTAACTCATATAGAAATAATCCTTATGTACAGATATGTATAGATAGATGTGCCTAGCAGGTGTGTCAGAGCATTGTTGAACAGCTCATTATACGAGATAACGCTACACCTCCGAGTGCGCGCACCTACATAGCCACATAGCCACATATCCCTCCTCGAGCGGCGAGAAGCTGGTTCAAAAACATGTGCAAACATGCTAGCAAGCCTGCAGCAGGCACTATCATCGCATACGTACGGCCAGTACGTAAAACGCGCACGTACGCACTTGCTGCATTTGCAGCTGCGGCGTATCGATGTATTTATCATCTACACGCCCACGCGCACGCGCACGCCCTCCCCTGCCCGCCGAACTGCTTGGGGACGAGGATTAATAAGCAGGTTTATAAGTATTGTACGAGGTATGTGACCAAGTAGCTAAGGTGCAAGGTCGTAGCTTTTGCTTTCCACAACAGCATAGAAGTTACTATCTCGCCTATGCCGCCAGCTTATTAGCAGCGCAACTGGCTACGTTGCCCAGCTAGCTTGCTTGCTTATCGGCAAGTTGTGAAACCACGGCGGGCCTGGATCTTGCATCAGATTGAAACATAAACCTGGACCTAGGCCTGGATCTGGGATCTGGATCTGGGTGTAGATCCAAATCTGGAGCTATATAGGGTCTGGTGCACATACGTTGCCGTCGTCGACGGCACAGCAGCCAGGGGAGGCCGGACATACATATCATATGACGTCAACTCCCCATTGACGCCGCCGGAGGCAAAGTAGCAGTAACAATAGCGGCTAGCTCCGCCTCCGCCTCCGCCTCCGCCTCCGCCTCCGCCTCCGCCTCCGCCTCCGCCTCCGCCTCCGCCTCCGCCTCCGCCTCCGCCTCCGCCTCCGCCTCCGCCTCCGCCTCCGCCTCCGCCTCCGCCTCCGCCTGAAGCTGTGCCCCCACCGACTGCACCTTGCCGCTTTGAGCCTGTGCCTTGCGCTCTAGAGCCGCTCGCAACCAGGAGGAAATCTGAAAGGCATATACATACATACGAACAACGCCGTACTGTAGTAGATGGTACACAGTACGGCTCACACAACAACTACAAATACGCGCAAAGCGCTTGACCAGCATCTCGGGAAGCCTTTTCAGCGGCCAGCTACTACACGTACTTACCTCCCCAACGAGGCGATCCTGTCGTTCTTGAACTTCCCTTCGAACCGCCGAGGCCGGACCCTGGGACGCCCCCTCCGGCATTGGGCTCCTGGACCTCTTGCCCGTCATCGTTGCTGACCACGACGGCACTCCATCCCCGCCGACGCCGACACCGACGCCGATTTCGCTGCCGTCGCCGTCGCCCTCGCCCTCGGCCTCGCCGTCGCTCCCAAGCACGATTCCGCCGTCGGTGTCGCGGCTTTGTTGCGGCCACACGGCCCCTCCTCCACCGAACGCCATGACGGGGCTCCGGCTGCCGAGCATGAAGATCCCTGCACCCGAGCCGCCTGTCACCGCCCGCCCAGATACCTCCAAGCCCGATGTTGGTCTCCCGGCTTCCGGGTCCCTGTTGTATTGCCGGTCCTGCTGCAGGTACTGGTAATGACGACGGCGGCCAAGGCTGCTATGGTCGCTGCCGTCGATCGTCTCTCTCCGGCTGCGGAAAGGGGAGCGGAGTTTAAGCTTGGAGAGGAGAGGCGCTGAAGCGCCGGAGACGGCGCCGGCGGGGTCGGCTGGAGCAACGGGAGCAGCAGCCGCCGCCGCGGCAGCGGCGGCGGCGGCGGCGGCAGGCTGTAGCGGAGCCGAGTTGCGTGTGCACGACCAGGTAGCGGCCTCCATGAGCGCCTCGTTGACGTCGACGGGACTGTAGCAGTGGCTGTAGCTGTAGCTGCCATTGGTGGAATTGTAACGAGGGAAGGAACCACCGCCGTTCGGTGAGCCGACGATTACACTGGCGGCGGCACGGCGTAGCCACATGGGGTGGTCCATTTGAAAGGACGTCGCGCTTCTGCGGGAGGCGTACGGCAGCTCGTTAGGGTGAGATTGTAGTACCGGTGAGAACCTGGCGGCGGTTGTAAGAGTGGCGAGAATCTTAGATTCCTCTGGCGGCTCCGCTGGTTACTTTCCCGCGGCTCGCCTTAAGTTACAACACGCTTGTGTGAAAGCAGTTGACCGTTGCAGCTGCGTTGGTTAGCGCTACAGTAGCCGTGTACACTGTACTCCTACAGCGAACCTACCGTTTCATCTGGTCCACTTCCACGCTGCTAGCTTGGCGGCTGGCGGGCGCCCAGGGGGGTGTCGCCCAGCGCCGGCGGGCTGGCGCTGCCTCAGCTGACGTCGCCACCGCCGCGGCCGCCGCCGCAGGCAGCGGCTGTGGCAGCGGCTCAGATTTGCTCACCTCATGGCTATCAACTGGAGCTACTGCTGCCGCTGCGGCTGCTGCTGCTGCCTGAAAAGCCGCCGTTAGCAGACCTGTTGCTGTCCCTCTCGCCACCGCCACATCAGCAGTCGCCG